TTTGTAACTTTTGAATTATACTTAGAATAAAGTCCTGCACACTAATCAAGGTAATCCAAACATCATAAATCTTTCATGATCATTTTCATAAAAAAAATTTCATAATCCCTAATTTTTTCTCTAATAAGATTGGTAATAAAGGTAATATCCGTAACATTTTTCATAACAAATTTCTCAAACTAGTACATCTAATAAGTACATGACTTTCCTCGTAGACTCCTGCGATTGCTTTGCCTTCTCTTCCCTCACTTTCTCGAAAGCTCGGCGGAGGACGAGTGAGAGAGTTTCTTGGCCTGAGAGTATGATCTGAGATTGTTCTTGGCGTGCTGGTGTATCGATCTCATGGTGTAGTTCCATGTACAGAACCCCTGATCTTTGAGTGCCTCCACAGCTCCAACACTCACTGCTACAATCCAAGCTCTGCTTGCCGAACTCATCTTTTTCTTCTTCTTCTTTCTTTAAATTTGCTAATCTTTCAGTGACAGATATGAGAGGTTTATGAGTAATTTTGGATTTGTTGATGGACTTACAATCCGGGTTGGTGCATATATAAAGACGCAAGCATAATTGTAAATCTCTAGTTGTGAAACGAAAGAATAGGCGGTGGTAGCTGTTTTACGGGAGGTTTGGTGGCTGGTTAAGCAAATGGTTTTAAACAAGTGGGAAAAACTGATTTTGGGACCTTTGGATTAAAATGATTGTTTTACCCCTTCTATTTTTACAAGTGGAATTGGACATTTCTTTGTTTTTTGGGTACTTCCATAAATATTTTGTGAGGGGTGGTTTCAATTGGGAGAGAATTAATCATTTTAAATTAGAGGTCATTCTTCAATCATTTGAAAAAAAAAATGAACGTATTAATTTGCCTATTAATTTTTAGACATGGAGTTTTGTGCAGTCCATAATCGGATTGAAGAGGTGTTATTCGGTCCAATGAGCTTAATTTTAAATCTCGTTTCAACGACTCGAACCATTCATATTTTAAAATTTATTTTTTGTCACTATTCATTTTTTTCAGAGAAAACTGATCCGAACACATGGTTGTCGTTATCCAATCAACTTAATTTTTTTGTAAAAATGTTGTATTCGACGACTCTTAAAATATGAACTATTCGAATTATCGAAACAGAATTCAAAATTAGGCCCATGGACCGAATATCACCTTTCCAATCCGATTATGAACGGGTGAGAAGCCTAACACTAATTTGTATTTAACATCTATAGGGGTGTTGTCAATTTATCTAATTAACACAATGTGAAAATTTTAAAGATATTTTGATGCAATTAGAAATATAAAAACTAAATTAACATGAGAAAATTTATAGGAATTATGATTGTAATTTGTATTTTTTTGAATAAATTACATTTTTTTGGTTTTAAATTTTTACTAAAATTTTATTTTGATCCTTAAATTTTTAATTATAACAATTAGATTTTCATACTTAATTGGTGTGTCAATGTAGGCATCTTGTCACTGTCATAAAAAATTTGATGATCATGTGCGGGTTATGTGTGCACAATTAAAGAGTGTTAAAATGAAAAAAAATAAAAATAATAATAATAAATAAATTATCCCTTTTACCGTTCAGATCCTATTTAAATTTTATTTTACATCTCTTACATTTGAAGTTTTAAATCGCAAAGTGATGAGAAGATCACAATAAAATATTAGTTGAAGTCTAAAAATTTAAATTAAAAGATAAATGATAAAAGTGAAATTTAAATAAAAATTCTAGTGATTTTTTCCCCCCTCAATTGGATAAGATGATGAGGTGACAAGTGTGTAGTGATTTAGGCACTACAGGAAATTAGAGATTTTACGGCGTTTAATTAACGATGTTTTATGAAACTAAGGCCAGTTACAAGACTAGTTTCAAATCGTCTTGTGGACCTATTGTTGCTGCTGCCTTTGCCCCAGATACTCGAAATTCACAAGGAGGAGGTCATAGAGGCCAGAAGAGAAAGCAATATAATGGTGAAAAGGGAAATGTTTCTTATCCGTGTGGAATCGAGGAAGTGAAAGCTCTAGTTAAGGAATGGGTGGCTGACGGAGAGCTAAAATTGCCTTATGTTGAAGAAATGCCATCAAAAAAGGACCGTGAGAGCCCTGAATTCTGTGTCTACCATCGTACATTGAAACATCCGACAGAGAAGTGTTGGACTCTCAGGAAAATCTTCAGAGATAAAGTCGAGGCAGACGAATTGAGGTTCAAAAAGCAAGGGACTCAAGACATCCGAGAACAACCATATCCTCAACACCGAGACAAGGGCAAGAATGTTGCTATGATAGCTTATGAAGGCCCGATGATCGAGTCTATCGCCAATCTTGATGACGATGATTGTTATCTGGACGACATCCTCGAGCCAGAGGGTGAGCAAGTTTACTATAGAAGTGCTTTCGATCCAGAGGGCAGAACATTTATGACTCATGGCAAGGATCCCTTCGATCCAGAAGGAGGAGAAGAGTACTACGGAAGAGGAGGACACCATGTTTATGTGGCATCTTATTTTGAAGAGACCGAGGAGATGGTTAACTACGAGCCTCCAAGAGTGGAAAAAGATCCGGACCACTATGCCAAAACCCTGTAAGACTGTGTAAAGTTCAAGCAATTCTTCGACCAACTTGGACTTTCCAGGGAGGCAAGAACAGAAATCACCAAGTCCATCATTAATATAGTCGAGGCACGCCATGAGGAATGCATGTCGACTGAAGGATCTATCTCGAGGAAGGCAAAAGAGAAATCTAGTGCCATTACTTTCTCTGAGGCTGATCGAAAGTATCCCATTTCTCATAATCGCCCGCTTTATGTGACTGCTTTTATTAACAGGGTTGAGTTCAAAAGGGCCTTTTTGGACAACGGAGCCTCTATCAACATTATGACTCCCGTTACTCTAGAAAAGTCCAGAATGTCTGAAGAACGCATTGTGAAACAACCGATAGTCATCACTGGCTTTGGTGGAGAAAGGAGAGTTACTATAGGATGTGTAACAGTTGATTTAGCCGTCAGAGAGATTCGCTCGGCCACCAAGTTCCATATTATCGATTCCGAGGCAAATTATCATATCATTCTAGGAAGGACCTGGATGCATAGATATGGGGCTATACCATCGAGTTATCATCAGTGTGTTAAGGCTAAATGGGGAAAGAAGACGGTGACAATTCAGGCTACAGAAAGGCCTTTCGAGATCCATGAAGCTCATTATTCTAATGCCATCTACTTCACCAAACTGGCTGTCAAAGAAATTACCACCACTTTTAAGCCTCGGGGGGTCAAAATTCCTCGTTGGGAGGATATCAAAGATAACAAGGAGCCAAGGGAAGAATCAAGTAAATAGGCAATGTCTCGACTAGAAAGTCCACCTATTCCTCGGAAGGTAATGAAAGTCCGAGAAGGGGGCAAGATGGTGTACTATTTGTGAAGGTGCGGGGAGTCGGTTTCTTCGGCCGCCGACTCTGAGTCAAAAGAAGAGTCTCTCGACAATGACATAGTAATAAAGCCTGAAGTGGCTCCAGAACGCATGCAAGATGCGCCGAAGCCTCAGCCCAGACAACTTTTTGAAATAAATCTGAGTGATGGACAAGATGCATCAACAATGTCTAGAACAGAAAACTAGAAAGTCCGCCTATTCCTCGGAAAGTGATGAAAGTTCGAGAAGGAGGCAAGATGGTGTATTATTTATGAAGGTGCGGGGAGTCGGTTTCTTCAGTCACTAACTCCGAGTCAAAAGAAGAGCCTCCTGACAATGATATAGTAATAAAGCCTGAAGTGGCTCCAGAATGCATGCAAGATGGGCCGAAGCCTCAGCCTGAACAACTTATTAAAACAGATTTGAGTGATGGACAAGACGCACCGAAACCGGTATTCGTAAGTTCGAGCCTTAGCCCAGAGAAGCGGGAACAGTTGTTAAAGTTGATAAGCCGATACTCAGATGTGTCTGCTTGGTCATATAAAGAAATGCCCGGACTAGATCCTGACCTAGTCTCCCACTATCTTGATGTGTTCCCAAACACCAAGCCAATTAAGCAAGTTGCTCGAAAATATCATCCAGATCTCAAAGAGAAGATTAAGGAGGAGATTGAAAAACTTCAACATGCTGGTTTCATTCGGCCAATACAGTACCCCACGTGGTTAGCAAACATCGTGCCAGTAGAGAAGAAGAATGGTCAAATCAGAGTATGTGTAGACTTTCGAGATTTGAATAAATCTTGCCCGAAAGATGAATTCCTTCTTCCTCACATCGACACCCTCGTGGATGCCACCTCGGGACACCAGATGTTCTCATTCATGGATGGATTCAGTGGATACAATCAGATTAAGATGGCTGAAGAGGACGCAGAAAAGACTGCTTTTAGAACACCTCTCGGAAACTTCTTCTATACAGTCATGCCTTTCGGACTCAAGAATGCCGGTGCAACTTACCAAAGGGCTATGACTGCAATCTTACATGACATGATCCATCATGAGGTGGAAGATTATGTTGATGATCTAGTGGTGAAATCCAAGAAAGAAGAAGACCATCTCCGAGACCTTGAGAAGGTATTCAAGAGGTGCCAGAAATTCAAAATGAGGATGAATCCTCTCAAATGTGCTTTCGGGGTGACGGCCGGGAAGTTCCTCGGGTTTCTTATACATAGGCATGGTATCGAGGAAGATGAAGACAAGGTCAAATTTATCAGAGCAATGCCTCCCCCCGCATTCTCAGAAGGAGTTAAAGAAGTTCCTCGGGAAGGTGTGTTATATTCGGAGGTTTATCCCAGCACTGGCAGAGATCTCTGCGCCTTTCGGCTCTTTGTTAAAAGGAGATGCCAAGTTCGAGTGGAACCAAGAGCACCAAAAGGCCTTTGAGAGAATCAAGGCGGCCTTGACCTCGCCTCAGACCATGATAGCCCCGCAGCCCGGGGTCCCTCTAATGTTGTACTTAACTTCAACTCCCAAGTCCATAGGGGCATTATTGGTCCAAGAGTTTATGTGGCATCTTATTTTGAGGAGACCGAGGAGATGGTTAACTACGAGCCTCCAAGAGTGGAAAAAGATCCGGATCACTATGCCAAAACCCTACAAGACTGTGTAAAGTTCAAGCAGTTCTTTGACCAGCTTGTAGCTTTGGTATTCACCGCCCAAAAGCTCAGACATTACTTCTTAGCACATCAGATTCAGATTGTTACTAGGAGTGATCCAATCCGATACCTCATCAGCAGGCCTGCTATAACTGGGGAGGTGGCAAGATGGTTGTTAGCACTGGGTGAATTCGAGATCACATGTGTAGCCCCCAAGGCTATTAAAAGCCAAGCCTTAGCTGACCTTCTTGCTCAAATTCCAAGTGGTGACTATGAACCAGTGAATGAAGAAGTAAGAGGAGAGGTGCATGCAGCTATGGCTTCCGAGGAAAGCTTCTGGACATTGAGCTTTGACGGAGCAGCAGCCGGAGGGAAGGGAGGAACCGGGATAGTCCTTACAAGCAAAAGTGGGGAAAAGTTATATTTGTCTTATAAACTGGATTTCCATTGTTCGAATAACGAAGCCGAGTATGAGGCTCTTATTTTAGGCTTGAACTCCGGAGGGTCCATGAGACTCGGCAATATTTTGTGGCAGGAAGTCCTCTGGATTACCCCTGACCCTTTGGAATGATTGGGGATCATTGGTTAGGTGTGGCTAAGAAGAAGGGTTCGCCGAGAGGTTGGTCTCCTCTTCGGGGTTTTCCTCATCCTCGGAGAGGTCACTTCCTCGGACAAGGTGGTTAGAGAGAATATTCCCCATGTGCCTTGCACATGGGCTCCATCCTATATCATGAGGTGCCTATAAATAGCACCCACCCATAGCTTTACAAGGGATGGATTTTGGAGATTTTTAACTCTTGGGAAAGAACTAATTTCCCTTTTCCATTATCAACCTTGAGAGTGAAAGTGGGAGATCCATGGGAGAGCCTTGCCATTATTCTGTCTCTAGTGATTTTGCCTTCTTCTTCACCCAATCTCTTATCTCCATCATTTCCTTTACTCTTGTGTTCTTAAGTTGAGACTATTGAAGAATCTAAGCCTCTCATTATCTTCTAGAGAATTCGAAGTTGTTCTTCAAGGGTCTTCGAAGATCTTCGAATTTTCCAACGATGTTCTTGAACCCTCTCCTACATTTGGCGACTCTGCTGGGGAGGCGGATTGGTTAATGGTCTCAACGAGATCTGGAATCCACACAACTCCAACAAAGATGGCGGGAGAAGATAAAGTTCATCAACAAGGATCCTCTAATGGTGGTGATGACAGGACCATGGCTCCAGATCAACCACTTTTGCTTGAAGCCATTCAAGGACTTCAAAATACTCAACAGGAGATTCTTACCACTCTTTAGAATCTCACTCACACCATGTTGGTGATGAGTTCTAACTTTGCACCAGTGCCAAACGGAAATCAAACTGGTGGTGGAGTTATTCCCGCCGGAGCGCAAAATCAAATCCAAGGAGAAGTAGGCCCCAATCAGCCTATGGCTCATGGCAACACGCCCACAGTAACACATGCTCAAACTGCAATAGGCGGCAGCAGTTTGCCCATGCCCGGGCTCCATGGCGTGCCAAGCCAAGATCCAATGGTGACTAGGGGAGGTTCTGGTGCAATGAATGGCGCTCCGGCAACTGTCGGTGTCCAGGAAAATATAAGGGGCGTGATGGCACAAAAGGGAGCTCTGCCCGTACCTAATCTTGTTACGCCACCAGTAAATGTTACTCAAGTACCAGGCGGGCCTCCTTTGGTGCCAACAACAAATTTGCAAGCACAACCCAGTATAGCGGCGCCGTACAGTGGACTCTGCGGGCCTCAATTCAATGTCCCATCACCAACTGGCTTGTTTATAGGCGCTGATGGCCAGTATTGTCAAATGTCCTCACCAATGATGAATTCGCAGCACCAGAATGGCCAAGTCGCCCCTAGCTCAGTCTTTGGGTCCATAAGCCAAGTTCCGGGAATACCACCATCAAACTCTCTCCCTCAACAGTTTCTCACTCTCGCCGATGCGCAAGCCATGTTCGATCTCGAACGGGGCAAGAGGACTTTACCTTCTTTGCCTGATCCGGATGTCATGCCGCCTTACCCCATTGAGATACTGAGCTATCCATACCCTGAGGGGTATACAGTGCCGAAATTCATCAAGTTCGATGGCAAACAAGGAAATGCTCGAGAACATGTTATGCGATTCATCAAGACTCTGGGTATTCATGGTTCAAACCACGTCATCCGGCTGAGAGAATTCTCTAAGTCCCTCACTGACCGAGCATATAGTTGGTATGTTAATTTGGCTCTAAACTCTATCCGAAGTTGGGAGGAAATAGTTAACAAATTCCACTCTAAGTTCTTTCAAGTGGCGGAGAAGGTGACCACATTTACATTGTGTAAAGAGAAGCAGCAAGAAAGTGAAGACATCCTTGACTACATCAAAAGGTTTCAGGACAAGGCCATGGATTGCCATGAAGCAGTGGAGGAGAGTTATCTGGTTCAAATCTGTCTAGAAGGGGCATTGAGCAGGTACAAAATGTTTCTAGTTAATCACAAGCTACCCACCTTCTCGGCATTAATAGAAGCAGCTCGGAACATTAGCATTCCTCAGGCTCACGAGTCCGGATTTGAGGCCAGTTACAAGACTAGCTTCAGATCGTCTCGTGGACCTATTGTTGCTGTTGCCTCTGCCCCAGATACCCGAAAGTCACAAGGAGGAGGTCATAGAGGCCAGAAGAGAAAGCAATATAATGGTGAAAAGGGGAATGTTTCTTATCCATGTGGAATCGAGGAAGTAAAAGCTCTAGTTAAGGAATGGGTGGCCGACGGAGAGCTAAAATTGCCTTATGTCGAAGAAATGCCATCAAAATAGGACCGTGGAGCCCTGAATTTTCTGTCTACCATCGTACATTGAAACATCCGACAGAGAAGTGTTGGACTCTCAGGAAAATCTTCAGAGATAAAGTTGAGGCAGACGAATTGAGGTTCAAAAAGCAAGGGACTCAAGATATCCGAGAACAACCATATCCTCAGCACCGAGACAAGGGAAAGAATGTTGCTATGATAGCTTATGAAGACCCGATGATTGAGGCTATCGCCAATCTCGATGACGATGATTATTATCTGGACGACATCCTCGAGCCTGAGGGTGAGCAAGTTTACTATGGAAGTGCTCTCGATCCAGAGGGCAGAACCTTCACAACTCATGTCGACGATCCCTTTGATCCAGAAGGAGGATAAGAGTACTACGGAAGAGGAGGACACCATGTTTATGTGGCATCTTATTTTGAAGAGACCGAGGAGATGGTTAACTACAAGCTTCCAAGAGTGGACAAAGATTCGGATCACTATGCCAAAACCTTGCAAGACTGTGTAAAGTTCAAGCAATTCTTCGACCAGCTTGGACTTTCCAGGGAGGCAAGAACAGAAATCACTAAGTCTATCATTAATATAGCAGAAGCACACCATAAGGAATGCATGTCAACTGAGGGATCTATCCCGAGGAAGGCAAAAGAGCAATCTAGTGCCATTACTTTCTCCGAGGCTGATCGGAAGTATCCTTTTTTCTCACAATTGCCCGCTTTATGTGACTGCTTTTATTAACGGGGTTGAGTTCAAAACGGCCTTTCTAGATAGTGGAGCCTTTATCAACATTATGACTCGCGCTACTCTAGAAAAGGCTAGAATCTCTGAAGAACGCATTGTGAAGCAGCCGATAGTCATCACTGGCTTCGGTGGAGAAAGGAGAGTTACTATTGGATGCGTAACAGTTGATTTAGCCGTCGGAGAGATTCGCTCGGCCACCAAGTTCCATATTATCGATTCTAAGGCAAATTATCACATCATTCTAGGGAGGACCTGGATGCATAGATATGGGGCTGTACCATCAAGTTAGCATCAGTGTGTTAAGGCTAAATGGGGAAAGAAGACGGTGACAATTCAGGCTACAGAAAGGCCTTTTGAGATCCATGAAGCTCATTATTCTGATGCCATCTACTTCACCGAACTGGCTGTCGAAGAAGTTCCCACCACCTCTAAGCCTCAGGGGGTCAAAATTCCTCGTTGGGAGGATATCAAAGATGACAAAGAGCCAAGGGCAGAATCAAGTAAACGGGCGATCTTTAGACTAGAAAGTCCACCTATTCCTCGGAAGGTGATGAAAATCCGAGAAGGGGGCAAGATGGTGTACTATTTATGAAGGTGCGGGGAGTCTGTTTCTTCAGTCACCGACTCCGAGTCAAAAGAAGAGCCTCTTGACAATAACATAGTAATAAAGCCTGAAGTGGCTCCAGAATGCATGCAAGATGGGCCGAAGCCTCAGCCCGAACAACTTATTGAAATAGACCTGAGTGATGGACAAGATGCTCCAAGGCCGATATTAATAAGTTTGAGCCTTAGCCCAGAGAAGCGGGAACAGTTGTTAAAATTGATAAGCCGATACTCAGATGTGTTTGCTTGGTCATATAAAGAAATGCCCGGACTAGATCCTGACCTAGTCTCTCATTATCTTGATGTGTTCCCAAACTCCAAGCCAATTAAGCAAGCTGCTCGAAAATATCATCCAGATCTCGAAGAGAAGATAAAGGAGGAGATTGAAAAACTTCAACAGGCTGGTTTCATCCGGCCAATACAGTACCCCACGTGGTTGGCAAACATAGTGCCAGTAAAGAAGAAGAATGGTCAAATCAGAGTATGCATAGACTTTCGAGATTTGAACAAATCTTGCCCGAAGGATGAATTCCCTTTACCTCACATTGACACCCTCGTGCATACCACCTTGGGACACCAGATGTTCTCATTCATGGATGGATTCAGCGGATACAATCAAATTAAGATGGCTGAAGAGGACGTAGAAAAGACCGCTTTTAGAACACCTTTCGGAAACTTCTTCTATACAGTCATGCCTTTCGGACTCAAGAATGCCGGAGTAGCTTACCAAAGGGCTATGACTGCAATCTTTCATGACATGATCCATCATGAGGTGGAAGATTATGTTGATGATCTAGTGGTGAAATCTAAGAAAGAAGAGGACCATCTCCGAGACCTTGAGAAGGTATTCAAGAGGTGCCAAAAATTCAAAATGATGATGAATCCTCTCAAATGTGCTTTCGGGGTGATGGCTGGGAAGTTCCTCGGGTTTCTTGTACACAGGCATGGTATCGAGGCAGATGAAGACAAGGTCAAATCTATCAGAGCAATGCCTCCCCCACACTCTCAGAAGGAGTTAAAGAAGTTCCTCGGGAAGGTGTCTTATATTCGAAAGTTTATCCCAACACTTGTAGAGATCTCTGCCCCTTTCGGCTCTTTGTTAAAAGGAGATGCCAAGTTCGAGTGGAACCAAGAACACCAAAAGGCATTTGAGAGAATCAAGGCGGCCTTGACCTCGCCTCAAACCATGATAGCCCCCGCAGCCCAGGGTACCTTTAATGTTGTACCTAACTTCAACCCCCAAGTCCATAGGGGCATTATTGGTCCAAGATGTAGAAGGAACAGAACGCCCGGTGTATTACATCAGCCGGAAGATTCGAGGAGCAGAAGTCTGATATACTCCGGTAGAGAGACATTGTTTAGCTTTGGTATTCACTGCCCAAAAGCTCAGACATTACTTCCTAGCACATCAGATTCAGATTGTTACTAGAAGTGATC